AGCTCTCAAAACTGGAAAAGTTCGCCAGAAGGTCGCCTGCTGAAAGAAATCTCACAGCCAACTGGAGACTCGAGGTTTCTAAATTTTGCTCCAGTGACAGGGTGTATAGTTACAATTACACTGACACTTGAGTGTCAGTTATTATAATGGGATGGAGGTAGCAATTTTAAAGTGCATTTTATTATCTTTTAAAGTTGTAGAGGTACAAGTGAGGGTTTGCTATATAAGTAGGCTGCATGCAGGTGAAGTTTGGGCTTCTAGGTAGTCCCTTCTCCCCCGGTAGTGTGGACCAGGTACCCACTATGTTGCCATTTGCCCCCTAAAGAGTGTGTGTGTGTGCGCGCGTGTGTGTGTGTGTGTGTGTGTGTGTGTAAGGGAGCCAAAAAAGAACGTAGAGGAGAATAAAAGAGGAGGAGAAGAGGGCAGAAGAATCATGAAGTGGACATCAGACCCTCTCCCTCCTCTGGTCTCACCTCAGGGCCTCTCCCTCCGTGACTGTTTATAGGACAGAAGGAAGGAACCCTAGAACCTAATCCTGCCTTGCACCCTGTTGGTTGTCACACAAAATTTTATCTGAGTGTCCACTCCTCAGGGGTGAATTATAAGCAGTCAAGGTAATTCTGTTTTTCTTCTAGTCAATAAATACCTATTGAACATATACGCCTTCAAGTATTATAAACTCGAGTCCTCAGAACTGGCTGGAGAAGAGACACATGGCTTAATCCTAGTGAAAGAGATATAGGGACAAGAGTGTCTAGAAAAGATTTCTTCACTTGTCAATAAAAGATACACAAGAAGAGATCTCTTCTTCTGCCGAACGTTACCTGCCACACTACATGTCTAGTACTGGAGGAGATACCTCAAGGTTATCAGGGCCCAGCACAGGTTGGTTAGAATCACTATGCCGAAGATGGCAGAACAGCAGAGGGTAAAGAACCTGGGTCTTCACGTGCCACTGAGCTGCTGAGGAGTCAACCCTCAAATCACTGTATCTCAGAACTTCTTGTTATGTAAAAACAAACAAAAACAACATTGTTGAAGCAATATTGGAATGGTTTTTCTATTATTATTTGTAGCTAAAAGCATTCTGATGGCTGTAAACCCTATGGAGAAAGTCAACTGCCTTCCTTGTTATTAGATTCTACAAAAAGAATCATAGAAGCTGATCAATTCTTCAGCATAGGTAGCTTATATGCATTTATGCACATGTGATGAGACATGTAATCAAATTTTGGCCTACATGCAAACATGCAGGGTAGCCTTTGCTAGGTCAAGGATAAATGCATTTGAAGTTGCCAAAACAGAATCAGTCTAGGCATGCTATCTACTGCAGGCACTTCCCCAAAACTGCCTTTAAAGAAAAGGGCAAGTTTGAGACTCCATGTCTCCATTCATTTTAATTACTGAATTTGAGAATATGTGTCAAGAGTGGGGAGAATGGGTGACGAGACGGGAACGAGAAGAGCCATGTATTCTCCACGTAGAGAAGCAGCTGCTTAGTACAGGCTCCTGGGGAGGCCTGCCCTATGAGGGCTGGCTCTGGGAGGGGAACACCCACAGGCCAGGAGCATCTTCCCAAGGGCCCTGCCAGCTCCCCATCATCTCCACTGACGCCTCCTGACTTCATCCCTAATTTCAAAATATTCCAGAACATTCCTTCCTGTGGAAAAGTTACAATTTTACTAACCTTAGGTAAACTGAATAAACAGGCTTTTAGAAAACTAACTAGGTAAATAAACATAATGTGCTGCTATCTACACATGGCTTCAGGAGAATCCCTCTAAGTCCTCCCTTCCCTGACTAACACAGGATAATGAACTGCCACTGTCCTTTTCTATACTTCTATGCCTATGTGAAACCTTATTTTGGGCACGTTCTGCCTACCGACAAATGGGTATGCAGAGGGGAAATGATGCGAAAGAAGGAAGAGAGTAGAAAAAAAGAGAAAGTGAAAAGGTTTGGGTCAATTTATTCTGCTAGTCACCAACAACATCTGGACAACAGAGGAGTATGGGGTCAATCACTTCACTTTCTGCAGGATCCAAAGCATATTAGGTGCAGACTCTACTCTGGGGGAAAAGGAAAAGCTAGAAACTAACAGAAAGGAAGAGAAGCCAAGGAAATAAAAGCATATTACGGAGAAAGACAGAGATGAAGCACCTCACAATGGACCTAACATGAGCTATGACCAGAACAACAGTGAGGGTGAAAAAAATGTGGCGGCAGCACCCTAACAGAAGCCAGGCAAGGCTCTAACACTAGGCTGCCATCAAGGGGCTGGGGGACCCACCCACCGGTTTCAGCTTTTTTTTTTTTTGAGTTGGAGTCTCACTCTGTTGCTCAGACTGGAGTGCAGTGGCCGCTCCCGGCCACCGCAGCCTTGACCCGCTGGGCTCCGGCGATCCTTTCGCCTCAGTCTTCCGAGTAGCTGGAACTACAGGTGCGTGCTACCATGCCTGGCTAATTTTTTGATTTATTGTAGAGATGAAGTCTTGCCAAGTTGCCCAGGCAGGTCTCGAACCCGCAGGCTCAGGCGATCCACTCACCTTGGCCTCCCAAAGTGCGGGATTACAGGTTGAGCCACCGAGCCCGGCCTCAGGTTTCTAACTGGTAACCCAAGCAGGCTGAACAAGAGGAGCTCTGTGGGTCCATCTCCTTTGTGTGTATCAAAAAGTCCAGGCAGCCAAGATAAGAAAAGCATAAGACCAAGCTTCAGTTTTACCTTTCCAAAATCAAAGTCCCACAATGAGAGTATGAGCAGGCTAAGTCAACACTGATGGTTAGAGGACTTAATAGACAACAGGGGAAAAACCAGCAAAAATCACACAAATGTTACATCAAATAGACTTCCCTAAAACATCTGCTAATGAAGCCCTAAGGCTCAGCTCCTGCTAAAGACTCATCCAAGGAATGGCTGTAAAATCATGGCTATTGAGAGACTCATCTTTTAGAAACTTCAGACTTCTAAAAATGGCTCTGGACTCAGAAATATCAAGTTAAAAAAAATCCTCAAAGCCATAAAAAAGTGACCCTTGAGAACTTAGCAACAAATAACATAGCCAAGGAAAGCTGAAGACTTAAAGAGACCAATCAGTTTCCTGAGCACATATGCACATACCATGCTCTAAATAATAAGGAGAAAAAAAAAAAAGAAGAACAGGGGACAGAAGAAACAAACAAACAAAAAAACTAAGAACAGAGAATACAAACCAACAGTGATCATGGCAAACACTGATAACCAAGAAGTAGACAGCAGATCGTCACAGAATACAGAAAGCAGAATGGCTGAGGGGAGGGGGTAGCAAACAGTCACTACCAACTGAATAGTCACCTACTCATGTTTTCGAAACTCCAAATGCCAGTTTTGGTGGTGGTCAGCCTTGTGTTGGTATCTGACCTGAGATAGAGTTCGCCATCTCCTTCCCTTGAACTGTATTTTTACAGCCCCTTTTTATGAAAAGACCAGGACCCAGGGCTCAGGGATCCAACCACAGCTGACCATTTATGTTATACTACAACATGCTGTCCATGCAGGACAAGATGGGCTATAAAATGCCCAAGCTCTCCTCTAATCCTAAAATTCTAAGATATTGTGTATTGCACATGAGAATAAAAGGAAAGTTGAGAAAGAGCCAAAAGCTGTTTGCATCAGGGACTTTTCATAGCAAATTCTATAGCAAGGTCATTACCCCTTCATTTCATGACCTATCCATATAATGTACATCTTATCTCCATACCCCAATAACTGTACATTATCAGAATCATCACTCCTCATGGGAAAGCCAAACTATATTTGCCATATCTGCCTACAGCATGCAGGTTTTCATATTTTGAAAGATTCTCATTAAAAATTTTGTTTTTAATTTAAAAGCTTGGGTGGTTGAAGAACTTGGCTACCTAAAACAATTCATTCTTTGAGGGATTCAGGGATTCATGGTTTTAAGAACTTGATTATTATACACTATGCTACATGTTAAAACCACTAAGTTCTTGTAAACACAGTGCCACAGAAGAGAAGCAAAAAAAGAAAAAGAAAAATAGAACAAAACTCCACTGCTACCATCTTGGGAAGCTTGCAGGCTTGCATGGAACATATCCAGGTAGCATCCAATAACATTCATAATAAGCTTCTTATATTACACATGCTGGCCTACTGAATAGCACAGGAGGATGTAGAAGAAACACTTCTTAAAGCATGATATTTAAAACCTGAGAGGGGCCCATGGAGCATAAACCGTAAGGAAGATTGGAATGATTTCAAAATATAATAGGTACAAAAGAAATAGGTTACAAGAATGAGCATTTAGAAATGGTTACAGAGAACATGTAGGAATATTCTAGAAAATAGGAACTTAAAGGAAATAAGAAAAAATAAAGCAACTTATAAGGAACAATTCAGAGGAAAAGGATGAAGTGTAGGCATGGCAGAATATCAAACTTGTTTTTTAAACAAAGGCTTTGCCTTTACAATCATGATGGGGGTAAAATTCACAGTAATAATTGTCTTTTTTTCCCTGCTGATAAAAATTAATATCCCAATGGGTAATCAGCAAAGTTTGTGGCAATAAAAGATCACTTGGGACAAGTTATTTAAGTAATATTCATTGCAGCATTGACCCTGTCCTTAGCAAAAAGGAGTACATCAGCAGAAATGGAGTATTTTACCACTCTGCTGATAACAAAAACTGTAACAAAAAGAACCACATTTATTGACACTTACCATTTGTCGGTCATGTTAGTGTTTAGTATGTACTAACTTGCAACAGTACCTCTCTGTTATCTCCATTTTCAGAAGGAAACAAAAGCACTCTTAGCATTCCCTAGGGCCACATGGCAAGGACGCGGCAAAATAGGCAGTCTGCCTCCAGAACCTATGTCCCTGACCACTACACAAAACTCAGATTTATTTTTGTACTCCATCTTCTGGATGACTCACATCTCAAAAACACCAGAAGGGCACAATGCACAGGAGATATGTGGTAATGCGTGATGTCACTTACCATTGGGGAAGGCTAACACACTGATGATAAGAAAGAAGAAAATAACAGAGAGGATGCCTCTCCAGATGTTGTCTTCTGGAACAGAGTCATCCCTGAAAATAGAAAAACAACATTGAGCATTTACTTTCAGATTTAAATAGAAAACCTACAGGAAGCAAGACTTCCATGTTCTAAAAACAACTGGGGGACTGCTAGTTTTATTTTGCTGAGGAAAGTCATTATAGATGCTGTTTACTATTCACTATCATTTCCTAAGATCCTACAATCACATAATAAAGTGCAGTTCTGAAGACAACTGGCAACCCTACATGCCAACCCACATTCTATTCAGACAAACATTTGAGAATCACTCTTCCTATTTTTTTAAATGCAGGATGTTAAAAGGTAAGGTTTCTTTTGGAGAAATACCTTTTCATTTTATAAATAGCTAAAGATGACCTTCATGATATAGAAGGTGGCAAAGACATTTTTTGGGGAATAAGAAAGGAAGCCTAAGATTACAAGGAAGACAGCAATGCAATGAGATTATATAACTGATACTTAAAAATGGGCAGGTGGCCATTTAACGGATGCATGCAGAAAGGGCAAATCCTGGGTAATAAAGCACTAATTAAAAAAAAAAAAAATACAAAGCTAAAACAAGTTAAGGTCAGGCGTGGTGGCTCCCGCCTATAATCCCAGCACTTTGGGAGACCAAGATGAGAGGACTGCCTGAACCCACGGGTTCGAGACCAGCCTGGGCAACTTGACTGGTCTCGAACAATAAATCAAAAAATTAGCCAGGCATGGTGGCACATGCCTGTAGTTCTAGCCACTTGGAAAGCTGAGGTGGAAGGATCACCTGAGCCCAGCAGTTGAGGCTGCGGTGGCCATGAATGTGACACTGCACTCTAGCCTGGGTGACAGAGTGAGACTCCAACTCAAAAAAATTAAAAAACAAACAAAAAAACCCCCAAACAATTTAAAAACAATTTAAAAGAAAATCAAGAATCAGGCCAGAAGCAAGACAACTGTAGGGGGAAAAAAAGGAGGTTAACATCCTTCCTGGTCATTTCTTTTTTTTTTTTGAGTTGGAGTCTCACTTGGTTGCCCAGACTGGAGTGCAGTGGCCGCTGCCGGCCACCATAGCCTCGCCTGCTGGGCTCCGGCGATCCTTCTGCCTCAGCCTTCTGAGTAGCCAGAATTACAGGCATGCGCTACCATGCCCAGCTGATTTTTTTTATTATTTCTAATCTATTACCATATTTCTTCCTCCATAACCCCAGGGACCGAAACTATTTCATTTGTTGACTTATATGCTGTCTGTCTTCTCTGTAGGAAATAGACTTTTTTTTTTCTTAGAGATAGGGCATCACTCTGTTGCCCAGGCTAGAGTGTGGTATTGCAATTATAGCTCACTGCAGCCTTGAAATACTAGGCTCAAGTGATCCTCCTGCCTCAACCTCCTGTGCAGTTGGAATTATAGGTGCACATCACCACACCTGGCTGATTTTTACAAATATTTGTAGAGATGGGGTCTCACTATGTTGTCCAGGCTCCTCTTGAACACATAGCTTCAAGCAGTTTTCCCATCTCAGCCTCCTAAAGGGTTGGGGTTTTAGGTGTGAGCTATCAGGCTCAGGCAGAAGCAAACTTTAGAAGCAGTGAATTATTCACTTGTATTCTCAAAGCCAGGCACATAGTAGGCACTCAGTAGATATTTGTGGACTGGTTATTGATTAGGAAGAAAATTTACTGTATAAAACCAAGTAAAATTTCTCAAATGGGAGTTTTTTTTTTTTTTTTTTTGAGTTGGAGTCTCACTCTGTCGCCTAGACTAGAGTGCAGTGGCTGCTCCCAGCCACTGCAGCCTCGACCTGCTGGGCTCCGGCAATCCTTACGCCTCAGCCTTCCAAGTAGCGGGAACTATAGGCGCGCGCTACCACGCCCGGCTCATTTTTGACTTACTGTGGAGATGAGGTCTCGCCAAGTTGCCCAGGAGGGTCTCGAACCCGTGGGCTCAGACAATTAACTCACCTCAGCCTCTCAAAGCGCAGGATTACAGGCTGAGCCACCGAGCCCGGCTCGAGTTTTTTTTTTTTTAACATTGATAATATAGAAGTAGGTTTTGACAGTTTACATAGAAAAAGAAGAATCTAGTAACACACTAGGGGCTTAAGCGAAGTATTCAAAAAAGGAAGACAAATATAAGACAGTAAGGAGAAGATTTTCTGAATTATTGATAATTACTGAAACGCGTGGGAGAGAAGTTCAGCATTTCAGTTTTGAAAAATGCAGTATGAGTAGGCAAAAAATATATGGAACAGAATGGAAGAAGATATTTTGGAGAAGAGACTAGTACCAGTTAATTTTAAAATGATTTAAAAGGTTGAGTTTATCTGAGAAGAACTGCAATGAATAAGCTTTCAAAAGATAAATATGAATTAAGATTAAGCATTACTGAAGAAAAAGTAGGAAGTAAAAAAAGTCATAGAAGAAATTTAAGCTTGGACAGAGAAAAAATCTAAAGAATCAAAATGCATGAAGATATGGAATGAAACAATAACGGATGACTTAGTTAAAAACTATGTCCTAGAGTATTGCTTTAAAACAGAAGTTAATTTAGATATCAGTTTCTATTTAGGCTGCTAAATTTCTGTACCCAATTAAATAATTTCTAGACACACAACATCAGTTCTGAAATAAAATATTGTACAGATCATACAATGTTTCCTAGATCATTATATGGTCAAATAAAACTAGCAAACTAACACTGATTATTAACGTCATAGACTTTATTACAAAACCAAAAAACCAGAATCGAACAGACTTCTTCTTTCAGCAAAGTAACAATTTTATTTTAATGGATACCTAACAATTGAACATCTGTCCAGAGGTTATTAACTCGGCCCTAAAAATGCCAGCATGATGTTCACTAGGGTACTTGTGATGCCTTTTGGCTTAGGTAGAAAGCCCCACATTCAATTTCCAGGAACACCAGGTTTTGCTGAAGAATGACTGCACACTGGAGGCACACACTGACCTCATTCAGACTGACATCACACTACTAATATTGGCAATACTGATGACAATAATAGCTCCTGTTCATCAAGTATCTACTGTGTGCCAGGCACTGACCAGGCAGTTTATAAATGTTATCTCTAATGGTCACAACCAATTTGCAAAATGGGATATTATCAACCATATTTTTCAAGTGAGTAACAAAGGCTTAAAAAGGTTAAATGACTTGCTTGAGGTTGTGTAGGTAAGTTGCAAGGTTGGCCTTCAAAACCAGGTTTGCTAGACACTGAAGTTGATGATTATTTCTCCAAGTCAAGTTGCCTCATGAAATAATTATCTGTCATCCTAAATCAGCCTGACTCGTGTTAGAGGGTGCACTGTATGTAGGTTACAAATTAAAATAAGGTTGAAATTAATAACTGTTGCATGGGAAAAGAAGGTTGATCCGTAATTTGTACTTTGCACTAAAATATATTCCAGATGATTTGAAAAATTAATGGTTAAAAAAATAGAAGAAATGGCAGAATTAAAAACCAAACCTCAAAACAAAACAAAACAATCAACAATCACATAGTAGGGAAGACCTTTCTAAAGTCATAAAGAAAAAAAATTCACCATTTTGCATGGCAAAATCAAAGAAAAATTGATATACTTGGGGGGAAAATTTGCAGCTTATGTCAAGACAGAGCTAATATCCCTAATAAACAAAGCATTTCTCTCAAAATCAATTAACAGAAAGAACAACAAATGGAGATAGGAAACACCAATAGAAAAATGGGCCAAGGATAGGAAAAGTCTGTTCACTGAGTAAAAAAAATTCAATTACTTTCAGACAAGAGAAAAGGTGCTTAACCTCACTCGTGGTAAAGGAAGGACAAGTTAAAACAGAAACCTTAAAAAACCCACCTTACTGATAAAGGTAAAAATGTAATGACTGAGCTTGGTAAGAATATGAAGACACAAGAAAGCAGGCACCCTTGCACTTTGCTGGTGGTAATAAAAATTTAATCTACCTTTGTGGAGGGCAATTTGGCAACATATGAAGTTTACAAATGCGTATACCCTGTGACTCAGCAATTCCACTCTGGGAATTTAGCCTCCAGATACATTCTCAGTAATGCAAAAATGATATATTTCCTAGATTTTTTCACTCTGGCCTTACATATATTCACAAAAGATTGGAAAACAATCTAAATGTCCATCAAAAAGGAAGTGATTAAATAAATTATGAGCCAATCTCACCATGGAAAACTAGGCAATAATAAAAAGAATGAATGAGAAAGCTGTTTAAGAACCAGCAGATTTAGAATAATTTATGAGAAACCATAAAGTAAATAAAACAACCTGCAGAACAGTGAATATCGTAAGTAACTATTTGTGCAAAAAAAGGGGGCATGTATATAGGTATATAAATTATAATTTGGACTTACAGCTGCATGGAATGTCTCTGGAAATCCACCCAAGAAAAACCAGTCCAAAGAGGAGGAATGAAGGGCTGGGAGCAGGTATGGAGGGGAGATTTTTTTCCATATACCCTTTAATGTAACTTAGATTTCAAGTGATGTAAATATGTCATTCTTTTTAAAAACATTAATTAAAATCTCAGTTAAATGAGTGGCTATGGCAAATCAGCAAATCAATCTTTATTTAAAATAATCTACTAGTCAAAAAGTTAAAAACATGTCAGCACTAAATTTATAAATGGAGATCAGTAATAAATAATGATATAAAACAAGTGAAATGGAAGTTTTGTAAATTTTGAGAAAATTTATTACTAAAAGAGGATCAAATAGCCTAGTTTTAGCAGGGAGAAAAAGGTAGATTAAACTGAACAAAATAACAGTGGGTCTGAAAAGTTGACAGTCTTATATTTTATATTGGGAAATAAATGGACAATAAGACCTTTAGATAAACTGAAAGCACTCAGTACAGGGAGATCAAACTTCTGCAATCAAAGATTAGGAGGAGGTGGGGTGAGCAAAGAAGAAATGTTTACTCCTAAACTACCGTGAGTTTCTCGAGAGCAGAGAGGGTAAACCCACAGAACCTAGGAGAGCCCCTGACAAGTGGTGGATGCAAAATTAGCGGATAC